GAGGGAGAGTAAGCGTGTACGTCAGTGTCCGGGTTTTACGTCGCTCGTCTACATTCTGCCAGGCCTGCGGGACTACGTCTGGAAGGGAGGAGGGAGTTAAGGATGGGAGGGAGAGAGAGAGAGAGAGAGAGAGAGAGAGAGAGAGAGAGAGAGAGAGAGAGAGAGAGAGAGAGAGATAGAGGGATTGCCAGCAATACCACAGTATCACACAATAGTAGCAGTTACAATGACAACAAAATACAACCCCCGTTCCCCAAAAAAGTATCAAAAAATATTTCCAATCGAGCAAAACCAACACTAGACTTATCCTAACCATAGGCCTTCTGGTCAGTGTACACATCGAGCATGAACTCCGGCTGCTCGAACATGAAAGCGAAGACGGCATCCACAGGAAGGGAAATGGAGGCGTTGAGGAGCAACTTCCCCTGGTGGTGGCTCTCCAGAGGGCACGAGGCACTCTCGTTCACTGGAAAAGGCAGAGGTATTTTGTATATAAGTATATAATTTTTGTATATGTGCAAATGTATGCATGAACCTATATACGTAAATATATAGTCAAAGTTGGTCCCATATCCATGTGGACAGCTCACTAAGCCGCAGGATGATGCAGTAGGGTGGCCAGTCCCTTTCTGCCCTTTGTCCCTTCTGGCTCTGCTCATTCACAGCTGACGACTGAGCATGTGCCAGCGTCACACTGAAAGCCACTACATATTATATATATATAATATATATATATATATATTATATATATATATATATATCATATATATATATACACACATACATATATATATATATATATATATATATATATATACATATGCACACACACACACACACACACACACACACACACACACACACACACACACACACACACACACACACACACACACACACACACACATCCGAAGGCGCCAAGACGCCCCACCCACCACTCAGGCGGCTTCCTAGCGTCGCCCTGGAGAGGCTCCTGACGAGGTGCGCGGCCGGAGGAGGAGGAGAAGGAGGAGGAGGGGGGGCGGTACCAGGAGGACTCTCGCTGCTGCCGAACCTCTCCAGGAAAGGACTTGAGCCTCTCTCCTCCATCTCGCTGGCGTAGGATGGACTCTGAGGGGAGAAGAGGGAGGGAGGTGAGGAGGAGTGGGAAGGAAGAAGGAAGGAAGGTAAGGAAGGGGGATTAGAAGAAGAGGGGAGGGAAGATACGGGTGAAAAGAAGGGAAAAGGATATTATAAGGAAAAGGAAGGAGGGAGGGAGGGGGAGAGGAAAGAGAAGAACGAAAGGAAGTGAAAAGGAAAGGGATAGAGAAGGGGGAAGGGAGGGAAGGAAAGTCGGGGTGGAAAAGGAGAAGGGAAACTGGATGGAAAAGGAGGGAGGGAGGAAAGAGAATAAAAGGGCGTGCGAAAGGGAAGAATGGAGGTGAAAAGGAAAACGATATAGAACAGGGAAGAAAGGTAGGGAAGAAGGATACGGAGACAGTGAAAAAGGGAGATGAAAAAGAAAGGGAAGAAAGAGAAGAGAGGTGATAAAGGAAGAAGGATAAGGAAAAAGGAGAGAGAGAGATAAGAAAATGGAAAAAAAAGGCATGGAAAAGTAGGAAGGGAATGAGAAAGGAAAATAAGATGGATGTGAGGTTAAGAAAGTGAAGAGGAAGGGGACAGAAGGAAGGAAGATACAAAGAGAAGGTGGAAATGAAAAACAGGAGGAAGGGAAATGTAAAGAAAAGGGAGGAAGGACAGGGAGGTAGAGAACTGAGAAGGAAGCAGGAAAAGGAGAGAAGTGAAAATGGAAATAGAGAAATATAGAAGGACCTAAGATATCAGGAGAAAGGGAGGTACGAAATATGGAGAAATAGATGGGAGATAAAGAAGTATTTGGGAGAAACAGTGAGATGAGAAGAAAAGGCAATAATTTTGACGATTATGATTATCATTGTTATTGATATCATATTGGTTATTATTATTGCTGTTATTTTTCCATTATTCATGTCTATTGTTATGGCTATTATTAACAGAATCATCATTATTCTTATCATAATATTGATAATAATAATTATTATTATGATCATTATCATTATCACATCAAAAATTATTATTATAATTATTATCATCTTTATTTTTCATGATTATCAGTACTGTTATTATCATTATCACCATTATTACAATTATGATAACAATCTTTACCATTATTATAACTGTGATCATTATCGTTATCATAGTTATTATCTTTTTTATTAGTGTTACTATAATCATTACTATGACCATGATAATGATGATGATTATTATTGTTTTTATTATTATGATTCACTTTTGATATTTTCAACAGTATCATTACTACGGCTACTACTGTCTTTATGATAATAGGGCAGATATTAACAATAATGATTGACCTTACCTCCTCCAATTTCATGTTATCTGTAATTCCTCTTCGATAATCTATCCTTTCATAGGCCTGACAACATGGGTTTTCTTAACGGTGACTGCGGAGCCGGAGTCTGCTGGAAAGGAGTATAATTTATTCTGATTATCTTTAATTACGTACATTTAGAGTATATTACTGTCATTACTCTCGTGCCATTGTCATTGTTGTTACTGTGGGTTTGAGTGAAACTGTATTTACCATACAAACTGTTACTATTGTTACTAATATTAGTGTTTTGTCATGCTTTGTCGATGGTAGTTGAAAAATGACACTACTTTTAGTGGGGTAACTATTAAAATATCTTAGCTATAACTTACTCTTGTAACTATATTACATCAAAACACTGTACGACATGTGAATTATTCCATGCATTTACATGTTAGCTTGTGCCTTGTCAGTTTAACATGTCCAATCATCTCAACTGGTATCTGTCTGCTTGTCTATCTCTCTATTTATCTCTCCCCCCCCTCTCTCACTCTCTCTCTCTCTCTCTCTCCTCTCTCTCTCTTCTCTCTCTCTCTCTCTCTCTCTCTATCTATATTCTATCTCTCTATCTATATTATATTATATATTATATATATATATATATATATTATTATATATATATATATATATGTATATATATTATATATATTATATTTATATATATATATATATAATATATATATATATATATATATATATATATATATATAATATTGTGTGTTGTGTGTGTGTGTGTGTGTGTGTGTGTGTGTGTGTGTGTGTGTGTGTATGTGTGCGTGCTTCGTGTGTATCTGGAAGATATATATAATATATATATATATATATATATATATATATATATATATATATATATATATATATATATATATATATATATATATATATATAGAGAGAGAGAGAGAGAGAGAGAGAGAGAGAGAGAGAGAGAGAGAGAGATGAACGTAGTTACATAAGGGATGCTAGCAAACTGATCTTGAGAGATAACATCCACTTTTTTAAGAGCATCTCCACCCCTACCACAGCATAGCGTCATGGGTATAGGTTGTCCTCTGAAGCGTCTCATAATTTAACTCTAACTTCATTATAGCTATAGTAGAGTGAATAAAACCCTCTACCGTGTTGATATGCTGTCAGAAAAAAGCGACGCCAAAGTTAATTAAAAAGTTAATTAAGGTCCTTAGAAGGTCGGGCCTTTTTTATGTATAGGTCATTGCCACCGTAATATCCATATGATAAACGCTGCAAAGTATGTTGCATTTAATGAGACTTACATTATAGTCATACATGTATGACGCGAATGCGAGTCCACATGAATACGTGCTGTTCATGAGACTTACATGAACAACTAAAACTTCACCTATAGTATAATGACATTTAAGAACACGAATCACTCTCAAGACATACCTTGGCGTTCGTTCAGATATCTTTGTATAGAGCAAAGAATGTAAAGAAAAAACGAATATATAATTTGCGAATATCCAATTTCAAAAGTGATATTGTTCTACGGTAGTTAGGATAATGGTCGAATCGGTCGTTGATTGGAAGAAGGAATTTATACAAAGTTTAATGAGGATGAGGGAGAGAATTTTGAGGTCGTGACATACGGGAGGGGGGGGGAGGGAGGGAGGAGGCGTTAAAATGGGGCTTGTTAAAGTTACAAGAAGTGTCATTATCTCTTTACATGACACAGTGGATAGTTTTTTTTTTTTTTTTTTTGTATGTTTTTTTTCAGCTGCTGTGTCAATGACATAGTGGATAGTTTTTTTGTATGTTTTTTTTTCAGCTGCTGTGTCATTAGGTTCTTAGGATATGATGAAGAAGGTAAGATGTTTCGCTTTTTTTCGAGATATGTAATGAAGTTCGCCAGAAGGACCAAATAAGTAGCATGTGTTGTTGAATTTAGTCATCCCGAATGCTGTTCTACACCCATGGCAAAGACACCCTTGCTTGGACCAAAATCGGTACCCGAATAAATTCTCATTTCCTCTCATTTCATCGATAACCAACCAGACAACGCCCCCCCCCCCCGTCCCTCACGTGATAGGTATCCCCCCCCCCCCGACCCCTTCCCTGGCAACTACCTCATGCCAGAGGTACGTCGAATGTCTGAATATATATATAGATAATGATGGTAATGATGATGATAAGAATAATGATAACATTAACAACAAAAACAATAACAACAGTGACAATAATAGAATAATAACGATAATGATAATAGTAATAATGTTGAATAATAATGAAATATGATCGTGATGATTGATAATTATCATGATTATCAATAGTGACAATAATTGATAATGATAAAGATAATAATATCAATGACTGCCAATGCGTATGCAGATACAACTAAGCTTTTTTTTTTTTTTTTTTTTTTTTTTTTGTAAAAGGGGATAATTTACGGTTAAGTAAACTTCATACACTTAGAATTCTAAGTAGCGCGGCGATAGTGAATTCCACAAACTTAAGGACGGATGTTGACAGCTGTCTCAAAAAGGTCCTTTGCCACTGGTGTCTGTCGGGGTTTCAATCAATCCCGTTTCCATTCTGTTGCCTGACATGTCGACGTCTCGCCTGCTCTATGACAGTCATAGAATGTCATAGTCATCACACTTTTCCTTCGAAGGAGCTGCATCTCGACAGGAAGTGACGAGCTCGTTACGGGAACTTAGAGGTGCGGTTGTAAACACTCTACCGTTTTCCTTTGGCGTTATAAAGGTACTGTCACACTAGCATTTTTTTCCGTCAATTTGTGAGTGAATTATCGATTCTCCAGTCAGACGATAATGATCGTTTCCGTCTGAAAACCTTTCCGTCAACTTTTTCAGCAAAGCAAAGTCAAATCAAGAGCTATATTCGAGAGTGTTTGTATTTATGTTTAATAAAATTATCAAAAAATTGACCGAAAAAGTGCTAGTGTGACGGCCTTAAGTCAATTCTAACGTTGGCAGCTGAAAAAGGTATAACGTTTTTATATTGAAATTACTATAATGCATTGATGTCACAGGCGCTAATAACAGTTATATAATGGGTTGGTCAAATAGATTGATAAGGTATATTCATCATGATTAGCGAGTGATGGAAACGGATGTGATGTTAAAAAGAAAGTGTGTTTGCTACATCTAAATACACAGACACTATTAGCAACATTCGCTATATATTTAATAGTAACAATGGTAACTATTTTCGAGATACAATGATCGCAACAGTTACGAGAACACTGTAGTTAGTTATTAGTATCAACCATAGCTACCCAAGTTACTTGTGACAATGTTAGCTACACTACAAGTAATATTGGTACCTATATAAGTAACAACAGCAAAGGTAACACAATACCGTAGCAATGGCACCAACGAAAATATATTACTTTAACAATACCGAGAATTGGTTCCACTCAATTATCCTCAGTCCCCATTATGGATATCGTTCATACTGTGAACATATATCCCCGATAGGGTTACCTTCACCGCAATGATTATAATTTGGTTTAGGTCACGAATTAAAGCATCGTTATTATCACCGTCTTCATCTCCGCAATCTTCATGGAATAGAAACATTTTATCAAAACAAAAGACGAATCAGAGAAAAATATATATAGAGTTGACCTTTGAATATTTTTTTAGGAACATCGTAACATCTGATAAGATTATAAATTATCGCCCACGTAACTATACGGTGGTGAACAGCACCTGTTCATGGTTCGTGTTCTGTAGCTATTTGGAGAACTACGAGAGTGTGTGGGGATGGAAGTCGTGTGTGTGTGTGTGTGTGTGTGTGTGTGTGTCGTGCGTGTGTGTGTGTGTCTGTGTGTGTGTGTGTGTGTGTGTGTGTGTGTGTGTGTGTTGTGTGTGTGCGTGTGTGTGTGTGTGTGTATGTGTGTTTCGTCTCATTTTGTCTCTTTCTACCTGTCTCTGTTAAGTCTCTTTCCCTTTTACGACAAAAAATGTTGAATAAACATAAATTTAATAGGCGCTGGTACGATATCTTTATTATACGGCATAAAACAAACATAAAATCAATAAAATTATCATAAAAAGAGAAGAAAAATATATAAAAATAGACCCTATGCCTTTATCAAAATACACATCGACCGTGTTCAGCTTTGGCCATTACTATATTAAAAGCAGCTATGACAAAGGAAACCATGGGCACGATTAAAGCCATCTGCGTGACCTGAGCTTTTTGTCTGACTCGGGCCTGACTTTTTACGTGATGGCGTGGGAAGTGGGCGGGGACACGGGCTTGCTTGGGTTGGAGGTATTCACGCGAGGCGGGGTTTGTTGACGAGCGTATAACAAGAATGAAGAAATCACACTCACAAAAAAAACATATATATATATATATATATATATATATATATATATATATATATATATATATATAATATTTATTTATATATATACAGACATACATACATACATACATATATATATATATATATATATAATATATATATATATATATATATGTGTGTGTGTGTGTGTGTGTGTGTGTGTGTGTGTGTGGTGTGTGTGTGTGTGTGTGTGTGTGTGTGTGTGTGTGTGTGTGTGTGTGTGTGTGTGTGTGTGTGTGTGTGTGTGTGTGTGTGTGTGTGTGTGCATGTGTGTGTGTGTCTGTATATATATATATATATATATATATATATATATATATATATATGTATGTATGTATGTATGTATGTAAATACATATATACACACATTTATTTATGTGTGTATGTGTGTGTTTACACATTATATACACGGATAAATATAGGAACCTTTCCCCTCTTTCTCGTCTGAACCCCTCACTCTGTCTTCATCCCCCCCCTCTCTGCGCCCCTCCCCCTCTCTGCCCCCCTCCCCTCTCTGCTCCCCCTCCCCTCTCTCCCCTCCCCCCCTCTCTGCGCCCCTCCCCCTCTCTGCGCCCCCTCCCCCCTCTCTCACCCCTCCCCCCTCTCTGCTCCCCCTCCCCCGTCTCTGCGCCCCCCCTCTCTGCGCCCCTCCCCCTCTGCTCTCCCCCGTCTCTGCACCCCCTCCCCTCTCTCTGCGCCCCCCCTCCCTCTCTGCGCCCCCCTCCCCTCTCTGCACCCCCTCCCCCCTGCACCCCTCCCCC